GAGACGCAGAGTGCGCATCCGCTAAAGGCTACTGTATGCAAGTGCAAAACTCACGCTAAGAAGCATTTGTGCATGCTTTTCCACCAAGCTATCGTCGACTCTCACTCCATCATCATTTCTAGACTTGCATAGAAGCATGGTAAGCATTTTCCCGACAACGCCTTCCACCTAAATTATATTTTTTTATTTTGGTACTGCTATGAAAATTCGAAAAAAATTACCTTCACTGCGATATCTTTCTCTATTGTCTTCTTGTAATCATTTTGGTAGGTTTCGCGGATAATTCGAAGTTGCTAAAAATGACATAATCTCAGCATTTCATTAGAGTCAAAAGAGAAAAATGAAAAATGGTTGGTTCTTGGGCTAGATAAGCGCCAGATTCGATAAAATTTTATATTTTCTGTTCAATAAGACGCGCTATTCCGTCGAATTCTTTTTATCTTGTGGAGTAAGCTAAAGGTGCAATTCTTGTTTCGTTTCGACTTATCTGCAATACGACAAAGGAAGTGTGCATACTGTAAGGATACTGTAATGTTACTGTAGCTTTTATAAATGTGACTTACCCGTGCTGATCTCGTGCAAGCGATTTCGATGGCAACAGAACGATCAGCATAGCGATTCTAAAAAATTACATAAATTTTCAATAAACAAGGTTTTTATTTTAATTTTTTAATTTGCCTATCAATATTATTACAATCATTACAATAAACTTACAAGAAGTCTCAAAAATTGATGGTCATTGTGGTTCACTACGGTGCCGACAACATTTGTGCGTCAACAACGACAATGGTGCCCTATGGCCGCATTTGAAGCGCATCTGGCAAGCAAGTCATCGGCACTAACAAGTGAGACATGTTGCCGCGCAAATGTTGTCATCACCGCAAAAGCACCATATTTTGACCAAATTCTTTTGAACCTACCGATAACGATCGATGCAAACACATGGTATCATATTGTGGAGCAGGTTTCAGCAGAGCTTGTGCCATTTCCAAAAAATAACCTCCAGCTTCTTCTTCGAGATCATCGATCAGTTTCTGAAATGGGGCTTTTATACTT